CTATAGAAAATGGGCCGGGTTCCAGGGCGCCCTGTCGGGGAGTGTCCCGAACAGCGTGGCAAGGTGGTCCGGTCGGATGGTGGGGTACAGCGGGCATGCCGCCAATGAAGCGCCGTTCGTGGAGGGCCTTGCGACGGTCGGATTTTCGTTAAGCGACAGTCAGGTGAACGTGGCGTTTTCCGAGGTCGTGAGCCTCGACGGTAGCCGGCATCTTGCCGACTTCGGCTTCGAGGATCTTCGATTGGGCACCGATGGGACTTTTGGGGGCGGCGGCACCACGGGACTTGTGGACGGCGCCCTCTTCGGCGCCTCCCATGAGGAAGCCGCCGGGGCATTCCACCATAACGCGGCCGGCGTTACCGGCAGCTTCGGAGCGCGGGAGCTGCCGGACACCGTGACAGTGGAGGAAACCGGAACGGTCGGAGTTGCGGGGACCTATACCGCGGAATCCGTGACGCGTCAGATTTACCGATATGATGACTGGGGACTTTGGGGCAGGCAGTTTGGGGAGAACCTGTTCGGTGCCTTCATCGAACAGACCGTCACGCGTAGCGGCGACACCACCACCTACGCAACCCCGACGACACGGATCGATGGCACGCCTTCCGGACAAAATCCGGTATCCGGAGGCGCCGTCTGGTCCGGAAGAGTACGCGCTTTCGAGACGACCGTTGGCGCCGACAAGACGCCGGTGAGCGGGGACGCACGGCTCGAGGTCAACTTTGGCAACGCGACCGTTGACGTGGACTTCACCAATCTCGAAGCGGACCATGACGACATGTCATGGCCGGCGCTCCGGATCGTGAGCGGCGCCTTCCGGGACAGGACTCTCCGCCCCACCATCGAGGGCGCCTTCTACGGCTCCGCTCATCAAGGGGCAGCCGGCAAGTTCGATCGCGACGATCTCCGGGGCATCTTCGGCACCGTCCGTTAGGCGCGTACGGAACCATGACACCGGGTCTGTCAGTCAAGATCCCCGCTGTTCAGGCCGTATCAAACCCCTCTCCTCTGGAGGGGGTGGCCGAAGGCAGGGTGAGGGTCACCAAAAACCCTGCGTCCCTACATTGCCCGTAGCACCGGCTGCTTGACGGACCCTCACCCCAACCTTCCCAGAGGGAGAGGGGGCAGTATTGACACGAGCCTGAAAGCGGGATGGAGAGTCCAGCCCGCCTCCCATGGACCCAAACCTGGATCCGCCGGCCCGGCTCTGGACACTACGCTGTCAGGATCCCGCTGTTTTCAGGCCCGTATCAAACCCCTCCCTCTGGGAGAGGGTGGCCGAAGGCCGGGTGAGGGTCCCCAAAAACCCTGCCGCTCCCATGCATTGTGCCGTAGACACCGGCGCTGGCACGCGGGCACCCCTCAACCCCACGCTCCCAGAGGGAGACAGCGGCAGTATTGACATCGGCCTGGAAATGTCTCTTTGGTGTAGGAGAGAGACCAGCCCGCCTCCATGGACCCCACCTGGATCCGCACGGCTGCGGACACCGGATACGCCGGCTGCTGGGGACAGGTACGCTGTGAGGATCCCCGCTGTTCACGGCCGTATCAAACCCCCTCCCCTGGGAGAGGGTGGCCGAAGCCGGGTGAGGTTCCCCAAAACCCTGGCCGCTCCATTCATATGCCGTAGACACCGGCCTGCTGCAGCGGGCACCCTCACTCCACCCACCCTCTCCCAGAGGGAGACGGGGTGCGGGCCACGTTCAGTAGAGGGAGCAAAGAGTCGTATGGACAGGCCCTGCAAAGGGGATGGAGAGTCAGACCCGCTCCCATGACCACCACCACGGATCCGCCGCCGCCGCGGCGCTTGAGCCTACGCTGTCAGGATCCCGTCGTTCAGAAGATGTAGCGTATCCCAACCCTCTCCCTCTGGGAGGGGTGGCCGAGGCCCTGGGTGAGGGTCCCCAAAAACCCTGCCGCTCCCATTCATGCCCGTAGACACCGGCCTGCTTGCAGCGGGCACCCTCACCCCAACCCTCTTCCCAGAGGGAGAGGGGGCAGTATTGACACGGCCTGTACATCGGGATGGAGAGTCCAGCCCGCCTCCCATGGACCCCACCTGGATCCGCGGCCGGCCGCTGGACAGCTACGCTGTCAGGATCCCCGCTGTTCAGGCCGTATCAAACCCCTCTCCCTCTGGAGAGGGTGGCCGAAGGCCGGGTGAGGGTCCCCAAAACCCTGCCGCTCCATTCATGCCCGTAGACACCGGCCTGCTTGCAGCGGGCACCCTCACCCCAACCCTCTCCCAGAGGGAGAGGGGGCAGTATTGACACGGCCTGTACATCGGGATGGAGAGTCCAGCCCGCCTCCCATGGACCCCACCTGGATCCGCCGGCTGCTGGACAGCTACGCTGTCAGGATCCCCGCTGTTCAGGCCGTATCAAACCCCTCTCCCTCTGGGAGAGGGTGGCCGAAGGCCGGGTGAGGGTCTCCAAAAACCCTGCCGCTCCCATCATGCCCGTAGACACGGCCTGCTTGCACGGGCACCCTCACCCCAACCCTCTCCCAGAGGGAGAGGGGGCAGTATTGACACGGCCTGTACATCGGGATGGAGAGTCCAGCCCGCCTCCCATGGACCCCACCTGGATCCGCCGGCTGCTGGACAGCTACGCTGTCAGGATCCCCGCTGTTCAGGCCGTATCAAACCCCTCTCCCTCTGGGAGAGGGTGGCCGAAGGCCGGGTGAGGGTCCCCAAAAACCCTGCCGCTCCCATCATTGCCCGTAGACAACCGGCCTGCTGCAGCGGGCCTCACCCCAACCCTCTCCCAGAGGGAGAGGGGGCAGTATTGACACTGCCTGTACATCGGGATGGAGAGTCCAGCCCGCCTCCCATGGACCCCACCTGGATCCGCCGGCTGCTGGACAGCTACGCTGTCAGGATCCCCGCTGTTCAGGCCGTATCAAACCCCTCTCCCTCTGGGAGAGGGTGGCCGAAGGCCGGGTGAGGGTCCCCAAAAACCCTGCCGCTCCCATTCATTGCCGTAGACACCGGCCTGCTTGCCACGAGAGTCCCTCACCCCAACCCTCTCCCAGAGGAGAGGGGCAGTTTGACACGGCCTGGAAAGCGGGATGGAGAGTCCAGCCCGCCTCCCATGGACTCTGCTTGATCCGCCGGCTGCTGGACAGCTACGCTGTCAGGATCCCCGCTGTTCAGGCCGTATCAAACCCCTCTCCCTCTGGGAGAGGGTGGCCGAAGGCCGGGTGAGGGTCCCCAAAAACCCTGCCGCTCCCATTCATTGCCCGTAGACACCGGCCTGCTTGCAGCGGGCACCCTCACCCCAACCCTCTCCCAGAGGGAGAGGGGGCAGTATTGACACGGCCTGGAAAGCGGGATGGAGAGTCCAGCCCGCCTCCCATGGACCCCACCTGGATCCGCCGGCGGCCGGCCGCTGGACAGCTACGCTGTCAGGATCCCCGCTGTTCAGGCCGTATCAAACCCCTCTCCCTCTGGGAGAGGGTGGCCGAAGGCCGGGTGAGGGTCCCCAAAAACCCTGCCGCTCCCATTCATTGCCCGTAGACACCGGCCTGCTTGCAGCGGGCACCCTCACCCCAACCCTCTCCCAGAGGGAGAGGGGGCAGTATTGACACTGCCTGTACATCGGGATGGAGAGTCCAGCCCGCCTCCCATGGACTCTGCTTGGATCCGCCGCCGCTGGACAGCTACGCTGTCAGGATCCCCGCTGTTCAGGCCGTATCAAACCCCTCTCCCTCTGGGAGAGGGTGGCCGAAGGCGGGTGAGGGTCCCCAAAACCCTGCCGCTCCCATTCATTGCCCGTAGACACCGGCCTGCTTGCAGCGGGCACCCTCACCCCAACCCTCTCCCAGAGGGAGAGGGGGCAGTATTGACACGGCCTGTACATCGGGATGGAGAGTCCAGCCCGCCTCCCATGGACCCCACCTGGATCCGCCGGCCGCCGGCTGCTGGACAGCTACGCTGTCAGGATCCCCGCTGTTCAGGCCGTATCAAACCCCCTCTCCCTCTGGAGAGGGTGTGCCGAAGGCCGGGTGAGGGTCCCAAAAACCCTGCCGCTCCCATTCATTGCCCGTAGACACCGGCCTGCTTGCAGCGGGCACCCTCACCCAACCCTCTCCAGAGGAGAGGGGGCAGTTTTGACACGGCCTGTGACATCGGGATGGAGAGTCCAGCCCGCCTCCCATGGACCCCCCTGTATCCGCCGGCTGCTGGACAGCTACGCTGTCAGGATCCCCCCGCTGTTCAGGCCGTACAAACCCCTCTCCCTCTGGGAGGGGTGGCCGAAGGCCGGGTGAGGTCCCAAAACCCTGCCGCTCCCATTCATTGCCGTGACACCGCCTGCTTGCCACGGAGTCCCTCACCCCAACCCTCTCCCAGAGGGAGAGGGGGCAGTCTTGACACGGCCTGTACATCGGATGGAGATCCAGCCCGCTCCCATGGACCCCACCTGGTCCGCCCCGGCTGCTGGACACTACGCTGTCAGGATCCTCCGCTGTTCAGCCGTATCAAACCCCTCTCCCTCTGGGATAGGTGGCCGAAGGCCGGGTGAGGGCCCCCAATAACCCTGCCGCTCCCATTCATTGCCGTTGACACCCGCCTGCTTGCCACGAGGTTCCCTCACCCCAACCCTCTCCCGGAGGGAGAGGGGGTCGATGGCGGCCTGGGCCGTGGGTGTGGCTCTCACCCCAACCCTCTCCCAGAGGGAGACGGGGCAGTTTTGACACGGCCTGGAAAGCAGGAATCCAGGGGCGGCGGGGAGGTGCCCCGGCCAAGTTACCCCCACCCCGCCTGGATTCCCGCTTTCGCGGGAATGACGTGTTCGGGGCTCGGTGCCAGTTTCGCACCGATCATGGAATCGCGCATCCCGGGCTGCCTTGTGGGGATGACGCCGAGACGGCCAATGTCTATTTTCCTCCCCGGGGAAGCTGTCCGGCTAAAGCCTATAGCCTGTCCTCACAGGCTTTGCTAGTGTAGTTTCCCTTGGAGCCGGGACAGGGTCCCGGACCACACACAGACTCGTTTGGGGGTACTCGTGATCATCGACGCTCACGCACACTACACCACGGCACCGGCAAAGCTTCAGTCCTTTCGCGCCCGGCAGATCATCAACCAGGGGCGTCCGTCGCCTGCCAAGCTCAACATCAGCGATGAGGAGCTCGAGCAGTCCATGGGCTCGCAGTTCAAGCGAATGGCCGACACCGGCATCGACCGGCTGCTGTTCTCGCCGCAGGCCTCGGCCATGGGCCACCACTTCGGGTCGGAGCTTGTCAGCCGCTACTGGAGCGAGGCCTGCAACGACCTCATCGGCCGCATCGCCAAGCTGTGGCCGGACAAGGTTTCGCCGGTGTGTCAGCTCCCCCAATCGCCGGGAGTCAGCCCCAAGATCTGGGTGGAAGAGCTCGAGCGCCGCGTCAAGGAACAGGGCTTCATCGCCTGCAACATCAACCCCGATCTGTGCAGCGGCCGCGAACCGTGGACACCGTCTTTGGGTGACGAGTGGTGGTACCCCTTGTGGGAGAAGATGGTGGAGCTGGACATACCGGGAACCATCCATGCGAGCGCGTCCCTGAACCCGGCCTTCCACATGACCAGCTCGTACTACATCGGGCAGCACCACAACGGCGCCGTGGAGCTGTTGAGCTCGCGCGTGTTCCAGGACTTCCCGCAGCTCAAGATCGTCATCCCCCACGGCGGCGGCGCCGTGCCCTACCAGTGGAACCGCCACCGGGGCATGCACGTGATGGAAGGCCTGGAACCGTTCGAGGAGGCGGCCCGCCGGGTGTATTGGGACATGGCCATCTACGACGCCGAGGGCATGGAGCTGTTGATCAAGCGCGTCGGGTCCGACCGGGTGCTGTTCGCCACCGAGATGTTCGGCGCGGTGAACGCCACCGACCCCCAGACCGGCCGCAATTTCGAGGAAGTGGTGCCGATCTTCGCGTCCGTCCCGGGCCTGAGCGACGAGGACCGCTACAACATCACCGAGGGCAACGCCAAGCGGCTCTACGGACTGCCGTAGGTGAACGCGTTGGCTCTTCTTGGCGTCGCCTGCGTCACCGGACGCGGGCGGGTTTGAAACCCGCCCCTACAAGCGGAAGCGGGCGGCCGACGGAGACATTCATGATCGACTTCTTCTTTCCCACCGACGCCATGGGCTCCCAGACGCTTCGGCTCGTGGCCGAAGCCCAGCAGGGGGGCGGCGAGGTGTTCGACATCGCGCGCCTGTGCCGCGACCTCGACCCCAACGACAAGAAGGGATGGGAACGGGCCTGGCTCGATCTGGCCCGGAGGACCGAGGACAACGCCAGGGAGGCGCTGTCCAAAGGACACGAACATACGGCCATGCAGTTCTTCTTCCAGGCCAACCAGTACTTCCGCATGTCCGACGTGTTCCTGACCATTGCCGAGAACGACACCAAGGCGGAGCGGTTCAAGCTGTCGCAGGCGAGCTTCCGGGAGGCCGCGGTGCTGCACAAGCCGCCCATGGAGGTCATCAGCGTCCGCTGCGGCGACGAAGTGTACGACGGCTACTTCTGCCACCCCAAGTACCCGGCGCCGGGGAAATGGCCCGCCGTTTTTCTGATCGGCGGCGCCGACGCCTTCTCCGAAGAGATCTACTTCAGCGGCCGGCAGGTGCTGGAGCACGGCTGGGCGCTGCTGCTGGTGGACACCCCCGGACGGGGCTCGTCCATGTACGTCAAGGGGATTCCCGACCCGGGCGGACTACGAGGTGCCCACCAAGGCATGCATCGACTACCTGGTCTCCCGACCCGAGGTGGACCCCGAGCGCATCGGCCTCATCGGCATCAGCATGGCCGGCTACTACGGGCCCCGGGCCGCCGCGTTCGATGAGCGCATCAAGGCGCTGGTGGGTTGGAGCGGGTGCTACAGCATTCTGGATGACCTCTACCTCTTCTGCGAGCACCTCCAGCCGGTTGTGCAACGGCTGCTGGGCGGCGTGAGCGACGAAGTGGCCCGGGAGCGGCTCAAGGATTTCACCATGGAGGGCATCGCCCAGAATATCACCTGCCCGACGCTCATCACCCACGGTGCCGACGACCGGCTGATGAACGTCGAAGGCGCCAAGCGGCTGTATGACGAAATCGGGAGCGCGGACAAGACCCTCAAGATCTACGACGACGCGCGCAGCGGCGGCGCCATCCATTGCAGCCACGACTACTGGGGCCACAACGTGCCGTACATGCTGGATTGGATGCAGGACCGGCTCTAGGGGCCCCTGAGATGGCACGGACCGGCGTCAAGACGAGCCTGTTTCAACAGAAAAACCAACTACTTGTGGGCAGCAAGCGATCGTTTTCTGAAGGATACCAATGAGAGCCAAAGAGCCAAAAGACCCGCGCCTACCGTTAAAAACTGGTGCACCAAGCTACCAGCGCGAGCAAGGCCGAAAGAGCAGAAGAAGTTCGCTCTACCAAAGACCGGAAGGAAAACAGCCCCGGACGTGCGCGCGCACTCACGGTACCGTCAATGTTCGCTATGTCCGGAAACCAACTTGTTGAGGTTCGCGGTTTTCTCTCGCCCCTCTTTCTGCTATATCCGGTTGACATTGGTGGGGGGTTTTCCCTATAACCACCCCGTGTTCACCACTGCTACCTTACATTCCCTATTCGCCGTTGAAGTGCTAAACTACAGCGTGCGTTTTCTAGTTGTCGCGCGGGTGGACGGCAAGGAAACACTGCGACGGTCAAGCACCCGCAAGGAGTCATACCATGGTAGAGAAAGAGACATACTCAGGATACAGTTTTGGCATCGTCCGAGCTGAAGATATCCAGACGGGTTTTCTCTTCGCGACACCCTCGTTCTGCTCAGGCATGGCAAGAGTCTTAGACCTCTTTGGTCAATTTGACGCGTACAATACCAGCGAAACGGCTGAAATCGCGGATTCCAAGGCGCTGTATTGCGACTTCAGGGTGATTGGGCAGGACTGAGACAGACAATAGAGGTGGTGTACCGTCAAGAGCCTGAGCGGAATCGCCATCAGTGGACCCTTGCTTTCTCAGATCTCGCTAATGCAAAACGACAAGAACAATTTACCCTCCCACTCTGAGTCCGCTGCCGACAAGGAGCAGCCATCTCCTGCGAAGCTCACCGTGACTTCGCAGGAGATGACTCTCCAATTGACGCAAGGTCCCCTACCACCACCTGACGCCCTCGAAGCCTACGATAGAGTGGTGCCTAATGGCGCTGACCGGATCATGTCCTTAACCGAGAGGCAGTCGCAACACCGGCAGGACATGGAAGCCAAGGTCACTGAAGGAAATGTTTGGGCGCAAAGGTTTGGTGCCTACGCAACTTTTTGGCTTACCTTTACCGCAATGATCCTTGGTGCAGCCTTGGTTTATGCAGGCAAGAATGTCTACTTCGGCTCATTTCTGAGCCTTGCTGGTCTCGGTAGTGCCCTATATTTCGGGAGGAATTATTGCGGTCGAAATCCCAGGAGGATCGCGAAAGCGAAAAGAAATCCAACCATTACGGGACAAACGACCCTATGAGTGTTGAGCCAATTCGGGCTGCTCACCCGACCTGGGCCACACTTCGTTATATATTCCCTCTGAAGGAGGAATCATGGCCAAGGGATCGGTTGTTTCGATACAGATCGCGAAGGACGCCAAGGGCGGCATGGAGAGCCTTCAGGAGGTCCAAGCGGTGGAAGGCAAGGGCCTCGAGGGAGACCGCTACTGCAATCAGGTGGGCAGCTACTCGCACAACCCCGGCCCGGACCGGGAGGTGACGCTCATCGAGGCGGAAGCGCTCGAAGCCATGGAGCGGGACTACGGCACCACGCTGGACCCCAAGGACAGCCGCCGCAACATCACCACTCGCGGGGTTCCGCTGAATCACCTGCTACAGGGGCGGGAGTTCACGATCGGAACCGTGAGGATGCGGGGGCTGCGCGTGTGCGAGCCCTGTGTCAACCTCGTCAAGCTCACGGGCAAGAACGTGCTGCAGGGGCTCGTGCACCGGGGCGGTCTGCGCGCCCAGGTACTCAACAGCGGCACGATACACGTGGGCGACACCGTGGAATGGGACACGGAAGGCGCTTATGCGCCTGACCTCCCGGGGACGACGAAAAGATCCGCCGCAGGATAGCGCTCCGGGGTGAGACCCTGCTCGTAGGCGTAGTCGCGAGGAACGCCTCGACGGTGCGGCCGTCCTCCTCGAGGAGTAGCTCCATGGGTCTCTCGGGTGGCCGCCGCCGCACAGCGTGTCCATTGCTCCGGGGCAAGCGACTCCCACCACTCCTCCTCCTCGGAAGCCAGGATGTACCGTGAGCGCGGCTCGCCGCCGCGGTCCCCACTGGTCCTGGCGCGGAGAAACGCTTCGTATAACACCTGGCACAGGTCCTCGTGTCGATCGGCCACATCCTGCCACAGGCGATGGTGTGCATGATGGGGAAGCAGCCGGTGCGCGCGTAGTAGTCTACTTCGAGCTGGCGGGTGTCGTCACCCAGCAGACGCCGCACGCCCGCGGCCTCTCGTGCCGTGGCGCTCACGGTAGAGGCCTCGATCATGGCGTCGATGTCGCCCCGCACCAGCAGCTCCTCGAGACTCTCACCGGAACGCACCACCTCCACGTTAAGGCTGTTGCGCACCTCGTCACGCAACGGCACGTCCACCGTCACTACCCAGGTGATGTCGTTCAAATTGACGCCGTAATCGTGCTGCAGCAGCGCCCGCGCCCACAGGCCCGCACTCAGGTTGAGGCGCCGCACGCCGACCCGCCGTCCGGCCAGGTCTCCCGGCGACTCGATGCCCGCCGGGCCCCGGCAGAAGATGTAGGGATGCCGGAAGCGGCGGTAGTGAAAAACCGGAATGGCCACGAGCGGAACACCCTTGGGAGCGCGCGGTGACGAACGGCGCCATGCCCATCTCGCAGATGTCGAAAGCCTTGTCGTCAAGCATGCGCAGGGTGCGGGATACTGGTAGTCGCCGAGAATTCCGGTGGGTGGAAACGGATCGGGTATGATCTCGATGTCGTATCCCGCCACCTTGACGCGCCCGTCCAGCAGCGGACGGGTCCGCTTGTATTCGCCGCACGATAGAGTCAGTCGAGGCTGCATGGTGTCGGACCGGATACCGGATGAACTCCCACGGGAGCACGTCCGATGTCTACCAGATCAACCCTCCGGGTGCGAGGTATCCCGTAGCCATTTCACGCCCAGCCACGGGTAGGTCGGATTAGCGAAGCGTAATCCGACATGCCGGTAAGATGTCGGGTTACGCCTTCGGCTAACCCGACCTACGGCGTGAAACGGTCCTGCGAGATATCCCGAGGGATGTGGTTCGACGAGACAAGGCGTGGTAGATTCGACGGACCACGCACAAGGGGGAACATCGCCATGGCCAAGACACTAAAGACTTCCGATTCCTGGGAACCGCCTGCCAGCCTGTCCAAGGAGGAGCTGGTCAAGATATCCGACGGGATACTGGGAGAGCCGGACATTCCCTACACCGAGACCGAGGACGTCTTCCGCATCCACGCCAACGGCATGGACTGGGACATCGGCTGCATGGTGTACGAGCCCACGGACCCGGCCAAGATCCCTACCGGGCCGGACGGGAACAAGCTCGGCATCTTCATGATCCACGGCGGCGCCAGCGACTGGCGCTCCATCGAGCGGCTGGCACAGACCTTCGCCGGGAAGCGCGGCTACAAGGTGTGCAACATGACCTACCCCGGCCGCCTCTACCTCCCGGACCCGAGCCGCGACTGGCCCGGCGACACCTTCCACGAAGACGGCGGCGTGCGCACGCCCATCTGGCTGGACGGCGAGTTCATCGGCAGGGACGAGTACGAGGTGGTGGACGACGCCGCCATGCGGGAGATCTACGGCTCCCGGAAGTACGCCAGGGCCAAGAAGGGAAGCAATTTCTACTATCGCATGGCGGCCTGGCCGGTGGCCTTCGAGGAAGGCATGCTGGACATCTGCCGCCGGCACCTGCCGGTGGGCGAGTACTCGGTGTTCACCCACGGCCATTCCACCGGCGGACCCTTCAGCCACTACCTGCTGCAGCGCATCGAGAACGGCAAGGGGCTCATCGGCATCGAGAACTCGCCCTTCGCGTTCATCTTCCGCAAGATGAGCGGCCACGACTGGCCCACCCCCTTCGATCACGTGCTGATCCGGAACTGGCGTGAGCTGGCACGCTACAAGGGCGCCGAAGTGGCGATGCAGGAAGGGGCGGAGCCGCTCTTCAGGCTGGCGTGGTTGATGGAAGAGATCTTCGAGATGTGGGAGCAGGCCAAGCGCTTCCCCCAGTTCAAGGCCGAGAACTGGCTGCACAGCGACAGCCACCCCTGCCTCACCGAAGCCGCCAAGGTCACGGCCGAGCGCCTCAAGATGAACGCCGAGGAGACCCAAGCCCTGGTGGACCGCTACCTGAGCTACGGCCGCCCCCTCCCGGGCCCGGACGCCAAGCCCATCCCGCCGCTCCTCTACGGCATCAACAAGTTCAGCCGGGACCACACCCCCGAGAAGTACAACAGCATCGTCAAGACCGAGTACGCGGCCATGAACCCGGCCCCGAAGGTGCGGGTCGTCGAGATCGGCACCGGAATCCATTCCTACTGGAAGACCGAGGAGGCCTGCCCCTGGGCGTCTGCCCGGTGATCACCAAGGTGTGGCACTGACGCGGTCATGAATGGGTACTACGAGGTGTGACGGGTTCGCTCTCACCGCCGAGCGACATGTTGAATCTCACGGACGCAGAACTGAAGCAGATCATCGCGACCGGCGAATCCGACCGCGTCGAGTTCAAGGAATCATTGTCGGACCCCACCAAGATAAGGCAAGCGATATGCGCTTTTGCCAACGATTTGCCGGGCCACGATCAACCGGGATTCGTAATCGTCGGTGTCAAGGACGACGGAACGATGGGCGACCTGACGGTTACCGACGCCCTGCTCCGGCAGTTGGCGGATATGAAGACCGACGGCAATATCGTGCCTCCACCGTCTCTGACCGTCGAGAAACGGACCCTGCAAGGCGCGGAAGTGGCAGTCGTCACGGTGCAACCATCCACCTCACCCCCGGTTCGCTTCAAGGGAGCGATCCACGTCCGCGTTGGCCCACGGCGCGGAATCGCCACTGCACAGGACGAAAGCACGCTCAATGAGAAACGCCGCCACGGAGATCGCCCATTCGACATTCAGCCAATCCCCACCGCCGGCTTGTCGGATCTTGACCTGACCCAATTCGGGAACGAATAT